CATCTAATTTCTTTTATGCATTGGCTGTACCATCAATGGCATCATTGCCCAATCACATGGTTCATTGTCCCACACAAAAAAAGTCCAGTTCCTAAGAAAATGAACAATTCCAGGCTTCTTAGTGTGGCAGACAGCCATTATCTCATGCTGAGAGTACACGCAGTAAAGACATGGAGGAAGCACAAGAGTGGAGCAGTTCTAATCAATTGCAATCACCACCCACTGTGGCTTGTTAAAGCTAGGTTGGCAACAACTAGGAGGGGGTTATTTATTATTATCAAGTGCAGTGTCAGCCAGCACTTTTCTGCTCTCTAGGCATAAAGTGCATGGCCTGAGACCAGCAGGGGCATCCTCTTGGGTGACATATATATACTCAATACTTCCAAAGAGTCCTTTAGCCAGCTCATAAATGCCAGTAACAGCAGCACAGCAGACCTCACAAATTCAGCCTGTTGACATCAGTTGCAGTGAATATTTTGCACCTTATATCACTGTACATAATACACTAGACAAACTTGAAATATGTCACGCCACTCACTCTTTTCTCCCTCACTAGTACGTCTATCTTCTTTTCCTTCCTACAGTTACCACCTTCTACCATCTCTTTTTCCCATTCCCTGCTCCCTTTCTCTCCAGAAATCTCAAACTAAGCTGTTAGAAAATGCAATCACCATGAAGTATGCAAAACAAATTAAACCAATCAACCATTTTTACTGACTGACATAGCCTCACTTTTCTCTCTCTTCATCATCGTCTATTTGTCACAATCATTTTTTTAGTCCAGTGGCCAGCAACATTTTTCAAGCTGCAGGACAGAACAATCCTACCCCAGTCCCATATGGGTCAGGTGAATTTGTTGATAGGGTGGCCAGAAGAAAGGAGGCGGGGGAAAGGCTGGGGGTGGGGAGGAGGCAGGGGGAGGCACACACAATTTCCCTGATTCTCTGCAGAAACCATGCAGCTGGAAGAAGCCACTGCTTCTCCTAGACCTGTGCTCCCAGGCTGCTGTGTGAGCAAAGCTTTTAGCTGGGAAGAGAGCTGCAATGGAACTGGGCAGCTGGCAGCTGCTCCTTCTCCCTGCCCCTGCCCTTCCCCCCACTCCCACCCCCATCAAGCTCAGCTCTGGTACAACTCTGCTCTGGCTGGAAACTGTGCTTGCATCACAGCCTTGAGGAAGGGGCTGAGAGAGGCAGCAGAGGTATTGACACAGTCCCTGACCCCAGTGCAGGTCCCTTCCAGCTGGAAGCTGCAGTCGTGTTGCAGCCTGGGGGGGGGATGAGGAGACAGAAGTGGTAGTGGCATGGACATAAACAGAAAGTACATGAACATAAAAAAGTCTGACGATCCACAGACTGGATGTGGGGGCTCCAGGAGCTGGATTTGGCTCATGGGTTGCTGAACCCTGCTTTAGTCCATTCTTTAAAAAATGCAAGAACTTTGGAAACAGATCATTCATTGTTAATATTCCAAGGACAAACCATAACTTAGTCTTACATAAATAATTAACAGTGTTTTTTTTAAAATATGCACATATTGTGACAGTTGATCCCATCCCAAACAGTGACAGCAGTACTTTTTTATTTGACATTGATAGCATACTGGAGTCTATAGCTTACTCTTGCTGGCTCAGAAAATACTTGCAAAGAATATGATCCTAATTTCTGGGTTTTTCACACAGAGATTACTTTGAGAAGAAAGAGTATATCTGTCTCCCCACATCAGATGGAACTCAATGTATTGAGAATTCATATAGATTTATAAGTAGAATCTGACAAAACCCTCAGTGTAGATTTTTTTTTCTCAGTTGATGCAGATCCAATTGCTCCACCGATATACCAGTAAGGAATGGTAAGAAAAATGTCATTATTATACAAAAAGTTGTTGTTGTTGTAGTTGTTTTAAGTTTAAAATAGACAATATATTGACTGTCTAATCCATGTCAACATGGACTAACAGAAGAAGCATTGCAATTTGTCTTCAGATTAATGTGTTTACATGTTAAAATGGGGGGGGAGGGAAGAGAGTGAGAAAAATGCATGCATTATTGCATTTATTATGGGAAAGATAATAGAACAAGATGATGCCAAAAGCAAGACAAAAATTCATTTCCTCATGACCATTTTAGAGCACTCTTTATCAAAGACACAAGAGTGAAAAGAACTCACTGTTTTTTATCCTGCAGTCACTTCACTTAGAAAACCCATACAACATGTCGGCCAATGCAACTCCCCACAAAAAAAAACAAACAAACCAGTCAACTGCTTTAAAAATGAAATATTTATATCACAAACAGAAATGAGAGACACATCTGAAAACATATCATTTTAGAAAATGGTAGAGCATTATTAAATAGTAACTTAAATACTGGCACTCTAATCATTTCCCCTGCCAGGCTATGCATGGGGCTGGGATCAGAAGCTGTCACTGACTCAAGTCAATAGGCCATCCCACCATATGGATAAATCGAATGTCCCTGCACAATACCACATGAGATGGCGGCAATTGCACTCTTAAGTTAACCCTCAGTGGGATTAGGCACAGACGTTCGATAAAGCACTCTAACAGAAAGTGCTTTAAGTTAGTACACATCCATGCAGAATTAGCTTAAGAGTGGGATCCACCATTTTTGAAGTGCTTTATGTGCCACAAACATCTGTTCTGTTACAGCTGTGAACCTAGCACGCATTAAGTGGAACATCCAGGCTTTGCCCAAGTGATTCCACTCAAAAGTCAGTTTCCAAATCATTATGCCAGAGCTCAGAGCACTTTGAGGTTAATTTGTAAATTATTAAACCACAAAATTAACAATTATACTCCTAAACTATTATTATTTGTGATGCTAATTGAGGTACACAGAATATTTGCTTGTGAGACTTTTACTCCTATATGTCAATCAATGCAAAGAAGTTTCCTAGATAACACGCTTCCCTATAAAAGGTGGGATTCCTACTTTATTTTTGTCTTTGGATCTGTATTCATGCTCAGGCTTCAATTTTAAATGTTGAATGAGTAAATTACATTTTTTAACAGATGGACTATGTCAGTTTGGGAAGAAATTGTACTCATTAGAAAGAAGTTATACTGACTTGGAAATTCACAGAAAAAATGAATAAAGGGCCAGCCTGCTCTAGGGATAAAAGAAAAAAGAAGAAAAGAATAGTATGTGGCCCCTTGAAACTAACACAAGGTAAAGTAAAAACAAGGATTGCCAAATTCTGCCGGCATATCTCACTTGAAATCACTTTGAAGTCAGTGTGCAACTGACTATAGAAACCAAAGTGTTAATTTCAGTCAACTTAATATTATACAAAAGGCATAGACCACTGAGTTATATTACATCTATGACAGATGCACAAATTAAATTTCCACATTTGTAAAAAAAACCCCAGCATGTTGAAGAGCCCTCACTTCAGAACTTTCTCTCTCTCACAGTCATTCTGATAAAGCCTAAATGTGTGGATCCAAGTGTATAATGCAAAAATTACTTTATTTAAATCAGGGCAAAACTATAGAACGTGAATTTTGATGGCTCCCCCCTCCTTCAAGTTAGCTGTATTTTAATTAGTAAAACAATGTCTTCTTTAATATTCCTACATACATAACAACAACTGGGATAGATGTATCTAAGATGTTAAAATGAATAAACTTTGCCACTTTGAAAACAACATTGTCTTAAAAACTTAGAAAAATCCATGACCTGCAGCTCTCTCAAAACTATATCTGCTTTATACTATAATGCAAGTAATTCATACATACAAGCTCCCCAGAACACCTAGAAACTTCCTTTTTATATTATTTCAGAAATTCCTGTTTTTATTCCTTAATATTCATGTTCATAAATTTATTTCATTTGATAGATGTTGCTTAAACATACTGTTTTATGTCAAGTAGAACTCTTTTTCTACTTTTTTAGTGGACTTCTTCCACACACACACATTAGGGGTAGGGGTGTGGCCATCTATAAAACTTCTTGAATAATTGTTAATGAAACAAGACAGTCATTAAAAAACAATACAAACCAATTCCTCCTAATCAAGCCTCTTAAGAGTGGCTTTACTTGAAGTTATTTATTTCTCTCTCCATCTGTTTCACTAATAACTGACAGAAAATGTCAAATTCAGAAAGTGGGGGAGCGGGGGAAGAAAGGTATACATTAAATAGGTGCACATAAAACAGTTTAAAATCAAGTCCTGTATTTGGCAGTATTCCAGGACCTCCATTTAAATTAAATAAAACAGAGCAAGTTATAAAAGTTCTTATCTTTATTCTAATACCTTGTGGCTAGCAGAAGTTATATTTCTCATTCACCATGACCACAATTCTTAGAATCCAACTACACAATAATGCTGCATGAGGCACTCTGAAGCTCTGTGGCACCACACTGAAATTTAAGCTTGTAATTTAATGTCAGTGATTCAGGAAAATAAGTTAACATGAAGTGGCTGCCCCAATGTGTAAGGTAAGTATGCTCATCAGCCATGCTTTATAGCTCTTTGGGTGGATTGGTCCCAGAGCCACAATTTACTTTCCAGGTTTATATGGACCCTATTCAGATACTGAATAAAATGAGAAAAAATAGCTGTATGAAATCTCTAGAGTGAGATACTTGTCAAATCAACTTTTTGCATCACTTCTTCACAGTACAGTCGGTGCAGTTTCTTTAGTGCTTTAAATTCAGCGGTACTCAACTTCCAGTCTGCAGGGCCATGTCACCTGGCCTGTCAGGTTCCCTAAAGCCCTAGGAATTTGGTGGCAGAGGAGTGGTGGTAAGATTAATTGCCATGGCAATTAACATTTCCAGAGCTGTGGCAATTAACACACTGTGGCCAGATCTAGCATGCAAAGTCACGTCTGTGAACTGACCCCATGCTGGATCTGGCCCCATGCCACTTGTCTGGACCACAGGGCCAGAAGGTGGAGTACCACTGCTTTAACCACATTTTTTTCAGAATCTGCAGTATAAGACAAGAGTATTCTAGAATTTGTCCAACCATACTTACCTTTGAAGAAGCAGTCTTCATTGTGAACGATGGTAATCTTTTTCTTTTTCAGGCAAGCAGCCCTGTGAACTTCACAATGGTTTTCATAGAATTCTCCATCAGAACCACATACGGGTTTGTAGTGAGGCTTGCAATGTTCCATGCACAGGCATTCAGCTTGGCCAGTTTCTCCATTGACAACACAGTGTCTACCCAGACCACAGTATTTATTTTCACAAGATCCAAGAGGTCCATCCTGACCCATGTAACCTGAGGGGGGAAAATTAAATGAAGTAAAATTATATAACGTCTGAACACCAGGACAATATATAATACCTGTCCTGAAGGCCTTAAAGATAAAGTAGGAGCTCTAAGAGTCTCATGTAAATTTCTATAGTATAATTTACATTAGGTTTATTTTATTTCAGATCATCTTGAGTTGCAAAGTCATTTTTTTCTGTATCCTTTAACGTGGTATGCATATTTGGAAGGAGGATTCAAAAAGTCTGTTATAAAAGTAACATTCTACTGCAGAAAAAGCAAACAAGACCTTCTTTCACCTCTTCTCCCCAGACTTCCTTAAAAATACCCCAAGAGTTTAGGAAATACAATCACTAAAAGTCGAGGCAGTCAGTATACATGACACTAAAGTATAAAATGATGATATTGTAGAAAATAATCTGCAGTTCTTATTAAGTAGATCAAAACTGAAAGATGTTTCCAATTTTAAATTCTAGTGCAATCTTTTCTATTTTATCAAGGAACCTTGGCAAGAAAGGATTTTTGCTGGTTCCCAAAACAATTATTTGTAGTCTACAATTAGTTTGCAGAATGTCTCTTTCACACACTTTTAAGTCAACTCTTAGTCTTATGTTTACGAGCCCATTTTTTCATTTTCTCAGTTTGAGCCACAGTAGAGAATTTTAATAACTGTTACTGATACTATCTATCTAAATCGGTAGTTCTCAACCTTCTTAGACTCAAAGGCCCCCTCAGAAAATGCTCTTAGATTTCACTTGTTTTTTGACTATGGAAAAATAATAGAGCAATTCTTCTCTTACAATGAACTCAGGAAGACCACAACAGATCAGAATGTTTCTGACACTGTGAATTCCTACTTGCAATTTCTAGGTTTTAAGTGTGTAACACCTACTTATGATTCAGAAGATAAAGTGCTAATATTGTACAGACAGCACCCCATGGCACTATTAAAGGCATCCTCTGGCACCCTGATTGAGATTCAGGGATTTAAATACTTGTATCAATTAGATAGCTAGAAAGGTCACTCTTCTTTAATGTCTCTACAAAAAGGAAAGAAAAGGTCAATACTTTTCCCTACACAGAAAACAAGGTTCTATATACAGGCTATTTTTTTTCAATAAATTAATATTTAATGTTGATTGAATAGTCTCTTTATTACAGCTCTACTGGAACTAAATGGTTAAGTTCACCTTAACTTTACAAAACAAAACTGGAGAAATCAATCTGTATCTACAAAAGGAAAAACTGTGACTAACTTTATGAAATGTCTCAGCTAATCAGTGAAGTAGCAAACACTGAACACAGAAAATATTTACAGTATAACAACATCAGATTTGAATTGTAAGCTTTGGGAATACCAATTAAACTAGTTGCACTAGTAAATTAATTATTTTCTAGGAATTAATTACCTGTTTTACATCACATCCAATATGCACAGATTCTAAGCAACTTCAGTACAATTAAACAAAATAATTAATATGTAAGTTCCAAAAGGATACTTGTATGATGTAAAATGAATGGTGAGAACATGTCCTTCCTGACAGTAATTATCCATGACTAATGTGGAACATAGTTCAGCTGAGATTAAATCAATTTAATCTGATTATCATGCTTATGTATACATTCAGTTGTCATTATATACTAAATGAATTTCTAGAAGAGCAGCATCCAGTACCATTACATAATTTACTCTTTGTAAAAGATGTATTTCCACACTAAATCATTCCAAGTCTTGCAAGCTGCTTTTTTGTAAAAGAATATTGCATATTAATAGACTGGCTTATTATATAAATATGTACAAAATCCCAAAACAAATAATCAGCAGCCAAGAGGAGTTGCTCTTTCACCTACAAAATGAAACCAAAATTGCCATCCACATTTATTGCATCTTTTAGTACCTCAGTAATGTAAACTGTTTAACAAAACTGTTGAATAAAGTGGGGGGAGGGACCCAACAACTGTGTCTGACTGCTTGTACATACCATAGGGGTTTAATTCAGTTTAGTTCTCCATAAATTAAAAAGATTTTTTTTTAAAAACACCACTTCAATTTAGGGAGAATTAAACTGAACTAAATCCCTATGGCGGCGGGGGGGAGCTGTCAGTGGTCTGAGCAGTTCTTGAGCTGCACAGGGCCCCCCCAGGCAGCACCTGACTGCTAGCACCTGGCCTGGGTGGTCCTGGGGGGCTCCACAGCCACAGAGGGAAGCACCAGCTCCCCTGCAGCTATAGAGGGAAGCACCAGGATCCTGCACAGCTCACGCAGGCTCCAGGGTGGGGAGAAAAGAAAAAAAAAAAAGAAGATGATCAGGATCACCACTTGTTTTTTTCCCTTCAGTGGAGCCTGACTACGTGGGCTGCTGCCGGGTCCCACAGCCCCTGAGCTGTGCAGGGCCCAGCAAGCCCCAAGCACATTGGCTTCCATTGCCCTATGCACTATTGCACTTTGTAAGATAGCAAGCTAAAACACCTTGCAGGTGTTTTATCCTGGTATGTACCAAAGTCATTTAAAGAGGAATACATCACCAAGCCTGTGAACAGCAATGCCATTAAAGCAGTGCAAAAGGGCATTTAAGCTGCTTTAAAGGCCAATTTTGCGATGTGTACAAAGGCCCTATTAGAACAGGCCCATAATATTTTCTAGTATTATTCTCTTGGGTTCTCTCCTCTCCCCATAACAAATGCATTGTCTGGCCCATTTTCTCTCTTCCCTCCTTTGTGACTCTCTTGGCCCCTTTCTACAGTCAAGCTAAACTCTGCTTCCAGCCAATGCTCCCATACTAAAAAAAAAAGAAAAGAAAAGCAAGGGGGGGGTGGAGAGAGGGGGAAAAGAGAGAAACGGGGAAAGTACCATAATTAATGTTGCTTTCAGTAGCATTAAATGAAAAACCTACTGCAAAAAGTGTGTAAACATAAGAATTATTTTAAAATGCACATTCCATTTCTGTGCAAGTATCTGCTTATCTCAGTCTCCAAAAAGTCTTTATCATTTCTTATAACTCTCCTATTAGGCCCTAGAAAAGTAACTCATTGAATGAGCTTTAAAGCACCCCTACCACCATTTTGAAATTTGGGGACGCTCAATACATGTGAGGCCAAGGCTGCTGGAGTGTGCTAATTAGTTAAGTCTGCTCTGATGTGTTCTAATTAGAATGGGTCAGAGCAGGCATCAGACACATGTATAGGTGCCCATTGTGATTAACTCAGATCCTTTGCATTATTATTATCCTTACAGTTTTGAGAGCAAAAGTTAAAGATCACATGCAAATGCTTTTAATGTGTAACATACCTGATATATTTGTTCATTCAACTCATGGTCAGCATACATGAAAACAGACTGGTAAGACTGGTTTTAATAAGTAACATTTTCAAAAGCACCCAATTTGTTTAGAAAGCTTGATCCCATTGGATTTACACTCCTACATCCCTAGGCACTTCTGAAAATATTTTACTCAATGTACCAACAAGCTAGTACTAAATATTAGACATTAAATGATAAAAGTTCATGTAAATCCAACTTCCTTGTATTATTAACAACCTCAAAGTAGAATCATTCAACATCTGAGAGTACTTTATGGCACAGGTCATGTACACACATTACAAAATTATGGGACTCCCATGAAGTGATAGAATTGTTGTAGTTTGAGGCCAAAGTCTATAAATCATTATTATTTCTGCTTTCTGAATTGGGAGATAAAGATCAGAGACTGACAACTGTTCTGAATTATTATAGTATGTGTAGAGACTTAACAATGTATACTACTGTGCAAGTAGAGACTGTTTTGAGACTACACTTGGGATTTCATTTTAGTACTGTAATTGAATCTGGTTCTTGAATGCAAAATGCCAACTAGTTATATTAGGGTGTAGGGAAGTGATTTACATAATGTGTATCAATATCTACTATATATGCTTAGGTGAGAGGAGTAATAGTTCTACATGTCAATAAATAAACGAGCTTTCTGTCCTAATGAAACTTATATTTGTTTGCTGTGAATGACCTTTTAATCAATTTCTGACTGCTTTATAACATTAACCATAAATATTCTGATACCATATGTGTATTTATGTAGATCATTACCCATATAATCCTGGTCACTTTCAGATTTCTATTGACATTGATAAGGACAGAATTGCATTTGTCACCCTCAGCTTGTACCTAAAATTCACTTACTCCTCAGTGACCCCAGCATATTCAGAGACTACAGCAAACTGTTTTGAATTTCTGAACTGAGGACACATTTTCTAGTATATTCCATGATTACATTATGAATATACAGGTTTTCAAGCTTATGCACTGTGAAATAGTTTCTTTTTAAAAGATGGTTGCAGATTTATTCCTAAAATGAAATTTTCTGACTTGTTTATCAAAGGCATACATAAGGCAAAAGAAAAATGTCACCTGCACTTTTAAAATAAAGATAATATGACGTTTATAAACCTAACTCTATAAATTAAAATGGCTGAAAATGTAAACAAGATATAAACAAATACAGTTAAATTAAAATAAGGGAATAGAAACAAAAGAAAGCATATTATTTAAAAAGAAATCTGTTGCAAAAAATAAAAATAAAATTAAGATTTGTGACAATACCAATACAGCTTATGGTAGCATATAGCAAGAAAAAATCTTGAACCTGTATCACAGAAAATAAATTCCTTGCCATGATCTTCCCTGTGCACTGGATAAAATCCTAACATTAGCAAGATGCAAGGCATACACAATCTTTTTAGAAAGATCCCTTTGTCCTGAGATAAGCAAGATACTAGTAGCATGACTAAAGCCAAGAGAAAAAAAAGTACTACTTTTAAGCATAGTGAGCCAAGTTCTCCCCCTGAACATCTCATACAATTTGTTTCATTCAGTGAGAAACTTATGCAACAAAAGCAAAAGAATGTACTATGAAAACATAAATAATTGAATACAAGAGATCCCAGCTTTTTTAATTCTCTTCAATAAGGGGCAATTACAGCATTAGATAACAGTACTGATATCTTGATGCTAAAGA